TGGTGGCGGTGGTAAAGAACGAAGACGAAGACGAGGGCGATGAGGGCGAAGACGGCGACGCTGCTGACGTGGTGTTCAAGAACGAAAACGAAGACGGTGACGAAGGCGATGCCGGGGTGTCGAACGCCGGCGAAGTGTCGAAAGAAACAGGCGACGCTGGGCTGGTCGGCGTCGTGGCCGGAGCCGCGGGGGCTGCCGCGGCGCCTAGAGGCGCCGAGAAGGGCAGGAGCGGCGATGACGCCGTGCGGTGCTTGTCACTCCGGCCCCGGAGCGGAATGCCGCCGGCGTGGCTCCGTCGGCCGGCCGGCCTCCGACCACGCTGCGTGCCGCTGTGGAGGCCAAAGTCGAAGAGCTTGGCCATTGCATCACTGCTGCTGCCACTACTGCCCGATGACGACGAAGACGACGATGACGCAGCACCGGCGTCGTGGTGGCCCTCGCCTGCCTCGGCCTTGTCGGCTACGTCATCGGCCTTGTCATCCCCTTTGTCGGCATCGTCACCGCCGCCAGCGGCACTGCCGGCATTGCTGGCGGCCTGGTCTGCGGTGGCAGTGGTGGTGGCGGCCGAGTCGGTGGGGTGGGGCTCGAACTGGACGACGATGTCCCACTTCTCCTCGCCCTTGAGTACGCGCTTCTTGAAGAAGTCGCGCGAGATGACGACAAAGTAGAACCGCTTGCCCTGGAACCCGCCACTCTTGGCCTTGATCAGGCTTTCGCCCGGACAAGGGACTGTGTGCGCCGGGCGACACACACACACACACACACACACACACACACACACACACACACGATCAGTTGGCCATCACTAGTTCGTGTCACGCCCCATCCAAAGGAGGAATTGGCGCGTACTGCCGCGCTTGAACTCGTCCTGGATATCCTGGCTGAGTTCGCTGAAGCCTTCGAGTTTGCTAAAGTCGCCCTTGAGCCGGCCCACCAGGTAATTCATCGCCACGCTCCGCAGGTGGTGCGTCTGGAACTGGTGTGCCATCTCTGCATGCGTGTTGTTGTGAGCGTGTGTGTGTGTGTCGTGTTGTGTGTGTGTGTGTGTGTGTGTGTGTGTGTGTGTGTGGTGTATGTGGCCGGGAAAGAAGTACGCAGGAGCTCGGTGACGTTGTCGAGCTGAATGCCGCTCTCGATGTAGTTCTCGCACTGCTCCTGCAGCTGCTGGATGCTGTAGAGGTTGCACACGATGAGTAGCTCGATCACATTCTCCTCGTTGACGTCCGCCTCGCTCGTGTACAGATACTGCCGACAGGAACCAAATTAGAGGCGTG